TAGCAGTAGCAGTAGCAGTAGCAGCAGCAGCGGTAGCGGTAGCAGTAGCAGTAGCAGTAGCAGTAGCAGTAGCAGTAGCAGTAGCAGTAGCAGTAGCAGTAGCAGTAGCAGTAGCAGTAGCAGTAGCAATAGCAATAGTAGTGGTAGAAGTAGTAGTAGTAGTAGTAGTAGTCGTAGTGGTAGTAGTGGTAGTAGTCGTAGTAGTAGTAGTAGTAGCAGCAGTAGTTAGTAGTAAGCACTACTACTACGTAGTACTAGTACAGCTCCCAACACCCCAGTCTTAACCTAACCCTGAAGAAAATCACCTGCCTGCAAGGATGACGTTCCAATCAGGACAAGTGCCATCTGTCCTGTGGCGTCAGGGGCGTTTCACTCTAAACCCTAAACCCTAAACCCTAAAGCTCTAAACCCTAAAACCCTAAAGCCCTAAGCCCTAAAACCCTAAACCCTAAAGCCCGAAACCCTAAAACCCTAAAACCCTAAAGCCCTAGACACTAAAACCCTAAACCCAAACCCTAAAGCCCTATAAGCCCTAAAACCCTACACTTAGGGCTTCAGGCTCAAACCTGCCTTAGGATAAACTAAACGGCCCTGTACTCAAACTGGACGGCAATCCGCCCCGAAATCTAATTCCAAAGACCTTAAGCATTAACAATCTGAACTCCCAAACCCTCACCCCCAAATCCGGATGTAAGGCTTCGGGGCTTCAGATTTCATAGTTTAGAGCTTTCGGGTCTGGGCGGTTGGGGTCTGCTCTCAGCAGGATGTTCAGAGCCCCAAAACTCCCGTGGGTGCTTGGCGGGCGCAGGGGGTAAGGAGGGACGCACTGATCGCAACAGTAAAGCCAACATTCTCGGGGCTCTTCACTGTAAAGCATGCAAACCGTAAAACCCTTTTTAATCCAAAACACCCAACACAACCTAACAAACCCGAGACCCTCAACCCTAAATCCCGAAATCATGATTCACCAAAAACGAAGGCCGAGGTTGTGGGGCTCAGGGTTTCAGGGATTCACGCTTGGGCTTGCAGCCTTTTCTGGAACCATGCAGGCACATTCCCCAATTCCTGCACCCTTCGGCTTAAACCCTAAACCTGTAATATCAAAAAAACTCTCGAGAGGGAAAGCTCAACTTCCGTCCCAGCTGCGACAAGGTCGGGCTCAGCACAGAGCCTTCTCTGTTTAAGGATCGGGGTTTCGGGGAGCTTGATCTGACCCCGTCTTGACAGAGTGTAAGCTCCCGATGAAGTCCGAAACCGTAGCAGTCGCAGGCTTGCTTGTCTGGTGCTTAGTAGGGAATGGGGGAATGGATCCCTATGATAGTTCCTTAAGGTCCCTTATAGTAGTCCCTATAACCCATTCCCCCATTCCCTACTAAGCACCAGACACTTGCTTGTGGTGTTTGCTTCCAGCAGGTCTCTGCGTGGAAGAGAATGTCGCGCAAGTGAGAAGATCAGCAAGAGACGCATGTATTTTGCCTGGACATGCCTTGTGAGTTTAGGGGAATTATCAGTTGATAAGCTCTATAGGGCCCTGCAACCTCTAAATAAAGGCTGCACCTTTGGAGATAGGCAGCCAAGACCCGTGCAGCATTAATTTGTGGTTCGGGCCTGGGGGCTGTGGGTATTACATCTTATCTTCAGTTTTAACGTGTAATTACATAGGCCATGTATATACATATACAGATATACAGCGAAATGCACCCGTATATACATATATATATATATACACACACACATAAATACACATACATGCATATGTGTATGTATGTATATGTTTGATGTCTATGTATCTACAACTATATATGAATGTTTTGCATATACACATATATACATATGGTAGGCCCCCCCTGTGTACCTACCAATTCTGGTCTTCCCGAAAATACTTATCATACATAGTGTCCCTCCCCATCAAAGTTGTTGCGTATGTAGCAATATGCTCGATAAAAAACATACCAGAATTGGTAGTTACATGGGGGGGCCTAGCATATATATATATATATATACATACGTATACACACATACATGCATATGTGCATTCGGGACGATGACTCATGGCTCCAAGCTTGGCACGATGGCTCCGGTTTACTGTGCCCTAAACTGGAAAATAGGAACACCCCAAAACTAGACAAACACACAAGCAAACATGATTATCAAGACATCCCAGACAACCCGCTTGGAATTAAAGCCTCGGGGTATGTAGCTCTCCGGGAGCTTCAGGTTTTGGCTTCAGAAGGCCTCCGAAGTCTTATAAGGCGAAGAATCATGAGTGAACCCCGATGCCCCGTAGAGAGTTGTAGCTTTGGCGTGGTATACCCAAACCCAAACCCGAACCCAATAACGATCAACGCCCCTGCAGAAGGAACGCCTTGGGCCAGAATAATCGGTGTTGGAACCTGTTTCGGAATACCAACGTATTTTGTAGAAGGCATAGGGTTTCAGTGATTAGGGTTGACATTGCAGCACCCGTGATTCACAAACACCAGTTGATGGCCATGATTAGAACTGTTAGTCCGAATTCGGGAAATGAACCTGAGGATCTACACCACAAGGTACAATATTATATATATATATATATCGGATGACACACCAGGAACCTAGTCAGGACCTAGTTCTTTACACAGCATGCTGCGAAGTTCAATCGCTCAAATCCTACATCTATGCGTGGTGATTCAGACAGAATGTGTGCACGTGTATTCTTACCGCCCTAATCTTAGAGTTTACGGCTTAGGGCCAAATCCCCGAAACCCCTGCCCCCCTCCCTAAACCCTAAACCCTAAACCCTAAACATCCAAGGCACCTGCATCTCTGAGTTCATCGGTGACTTCGGCATGCAGGAACCTCCCAGTCGTCGTAATCCACATGCAGTTCGCCTGCTTAGGGCCTACGACCATACGTCTTGGAGTGGGGCTGGGGCTTAAGGTTTACGGTTTAGGGCTTAGGGCTTAGGGGTCTTAGGGTGTATAGAAAATAGCTTCGGTTTTGAGGCATCAAGATGGAGAGATGTAGGACACTCCAAGAGCGTCTAAGGGTCACTCGGACGCTCGTTTGACGTTTTGAGTAGGGTTTAGGGTGCACGGGTTTGGGGGTATGCCTAGATCGACGGCACACGCATGTCAACTATTTTCGGAGTTGCATGGAAGTAGACTTACGAGCTCAAAAGGACGTTCAAGTAGCCAATGGCGGGTCGCGTAATATCTTGGCCCTCAAAATTCAAGAGGTATCCCTCAGGGCCCTTTGATGCTGCTACAATCGTTATATCCCGAAAACCTAGACCCGAACCCCCTCCCCCTCAGACCCCCCCCCCCCAAAA